GTTTATTTACAAGAAAAGGTCATTTTTAAACAAAATGTAGACCCCAGGTTTTCCAAATAAGTGATCGGTAATACATTCTTAATCTGTAAAACAAAACTAACAAATAAAGAAAAAATTTGAAAATTGTGCTAAAGCCAAAATACGTTTTGTTCCGGATACAGGATTGGAATCCTGTATCAGGGTCGGGATTCTTACCTAACAGTTTTAACTTTTACCTTTGTCTTGCAGTGGAGTGAAAATCGGGAATAGAATCCCTAAACAAATATTTTGTTTTTAGTGTTTTTTTTTGCGTAAGCAATAAATAAGTAATTCACCCTTCAGAAATCCAAATTAAAAGTTACTAAAATATTCCAAAAAAACGTTCAATCAATGAATCATACAATTTTTCCAAATCTTTAATGGAAGGTCACTTGATATTAGCGTCATGAATCAAAATAAACTAAAATCAACCAATTAGACAAGTTAACAGTTATCTTCAGACTTCAGACATTAAATTACCAGTAGGTGCAATAGTTCATTAATTGTAAGATTGGTTTCATTAATGTCAATCAATCACTTAATCCATCACTTAATATCACTCAATCTATCAATCAATCAATCATTCCATCACTCAATCTATCAATCAATCACTCAATCCATCAATTCATCACTCAATCCATCACTAAATCCGTCACTCAATCCATCACTCAATCCATCAGTCAATCCATCAGTCAATCCATCAGTCAATCCATTAGTGAATCCATCAGTCAATCCATCAGTCAATCCATCAGTCAATCCATCAGTCAATCCATCAGTCAATCCATCAGTCAATCCATCAGTCAATCCATCACTCAATCCATCACTCAATCAATCCATCACTCCATCAATTACTCCATCTATCAATAAATCCATCAATCCATCACTCCATCACTCCATCACTCCGTCACTCCATCACTCCATCAATCAATCAATCAATCACCTGATTATAAGTTCAGTTCCCCCTGCCAGCCTCCTCGCCTCTTGAACCAGTCTCAGACCGGTCTCACGGGACGGGGTCACAACAAGACAACGGCCTCCTCCAGTCTCTAGATAAACAAGATATTTAAGGGACTGTACACTGTACATTGTACACTGTACTGTACACTGTACGTAATCTAAAGTTCTTCCTAATTTATAATGGGTCATGTCAAAAATTTAACAAACTCAAAGAATTTGGGGAAATTCATGAACATGATGTAAATAAAAAGACGGAATTTTTTAATTTGTGGCATGTACGATTCACAGCGGTACCCTTTAACCCTTTTTTCCTCATCAAAAGTGAAATATTATTATTTTTCTAGCGGAGACTTGATTGATTTTAGTTTCGGCTTCTATATAAAAGTGACCTGTGCATTTATGCTACAAAAACAGTGGAGGAAATTAACAGAATTATATTTTCTTTAAATGACGATATCTACCACATTGTCAGATAGATGTTTAACAGGCTCCGTTGTGAACGAACATTCCTCTCTTTAAATGGAATAGTTTACTAGTTTACCCTTTTCTGAGACTAATCGGTGAATGATCGGAATCAAGAAGGCGGCTGATTTCCCTCCGCCAGTCTGGGCGGATACCATCACATCTCTGTCCGCCTTGAAATTAGAAATTAAAATCCGCATCTTCAACCGTCCATGTATCAGAAAGCGCTTTTTAACGAAGCCTCATTGCAAACTTCTGATCAACATACTGGGATTCAAAATCCGCAAACGGATCATAACTAGACAGAAGAGGGAGGGAAGGCAACCTCCCCCACACGCTTCCTAACCTTGTTTACCTTTTTGCGGCAGTGCGCGTCCCCTTAGGGCTCCCGAACCTCCCCCGGGAATGATCTTCCATTTATAATCGTTAATTTCTCCTTAAAACGGGACTAATTCAATAATTTAAGCACGCTAGTCAATCTATAGTATCCTTAACATTTGCATAATATTTTTTTTTGTGCACTGCCGCAAATAGGTAAAATGAGGTTCGGAAGCTGTGCGGGGGAAGTTGCCTTCCCTCCCTCGGCAGAAGCGGATCGAAAAAAGGAAGCTCCCTAAAAAATGGTTTATTCTAAAAAGCGGAAACAGATTTTAAAAAAGCGAAACGGACAATTTATCAAAAAATTAACAACAAAGGACTCCTAAAGAAATCCAAGAGACGCGGAAAATCAAACTTTTCAGAGTTATCTTTAATCCGATCCCGTGATGAAAGGTTTTCATAGCACCTACCTTAATATTGCAATGCTGCATCTATCTATATATCTATAAATCTATATATATAAAGATGTAATATCTGTTTATTTCTCAGATCATAGCTCAGGTACCCCTGGACCGAGTTGCCTCAAATTTTGTTTGGAGAACTCGGGATAACCAAGGGAATGTTCTTAGTATGGTTTTGAGAATCTAAGTTTAGAGGGCATTGGGCAACGCTGGGTTCCCAAGCTTTATTGTAAATCATTTTGGAAATCTTCGATGGTGTTGTCATACATATTTTAGAAAAAAATTGTCTACATAATCTTAATAAAGAAACATTTGGAGGTAAATAATAAATTTGATTTTTTGAAAAAAATTTTTTACTTAAGTTGACAGCTACAAAAAATGTTACAACGACAGACAAAAAATAAAAACATTTCGGTTAAAGATAAAACTTAAAATCTTAACTTATGTAAAAAATATGATCGTGAAACTAATTTCTACTAAAATGCGACATCACTGGGTGCAACTTTGTGACCTGTTAGCTCCTATAGCTTATGAGGCATAATAGAAATTCAAAACATTTGTACTTCAGCATAGCTCTTCGATGAGACGAGTTCAGATGGAAAACATGTAAAATTGTAAAACTTACTTTAAAACGTAAATTATAAAATAGTTACCATTATTAAAGGAATAGTGTACTGCTGCACCGGAGTAGGGACTTGAAACCCGTGCCTAAAACAAACAAATTTTATTGTATAAACTAGCTGAAAGGCCCAGCAGTGCCTGTGGAATTAAAAAAAATCAAATATTTTTCTTTTTTAAAATCTATTTTTGCCAAAAAAAATTTTAGAATTTTTTAGCCTATTTTACTCTCAGGATACCCATACGCTTCTTCAGAAAAAATCAGTCAATTCAGTTTAACTGTTTGTCCAGCTGTAGCAAACGTAAATATACATACAAATATATAAATATGAGCGAAGAGCTTTATTATATAGATAATACACTTCGAAAAATGTTTTGGCGCAGAATTTCTTCCAATCCTTGAACATCCTTGAAATCATCACTGGATTGTTAAGAAGACTGACTTCAGAGAAACCCTTTTGCTCTGTTTGAAAACTACTTCTTATTTACAACATTTAATCTTCGCGTGAATGGCCACCCTATCTTGGTTTCTCGAGTTTTTTCCATTTTTAATGAAATAAACATTTTGAAAATTCGGTTGTAAAATTAACAAATAATGCTAATAACGCATGTTTTAAAACAAAATTTTGTTGAAAAACCTCAATTAGAAACTAGTTACCCAAAAATTCAATTATATTACCCTGTACCCTAACAATAAAACATCTGGGAGAACAAAATGAAACTTCACTAATCTCCATTTAGGGTGAAACATGTTCAAGAACCCAAAAATTAAAATTATTAAAAAAAAAAACATGTTTACTGTATAGTGTGTACTTAAGGTTCTTGCATTTTTTACGGATTTTTTTGGCCTAACTCAGTCAATATTTAAAATTTTTCAAAAATTTCAATGGATATAATCTTTTTTGACATTTACGAAAAAAAGATATATGACATAATAAATTCGAGAAATATTTTTATTTTGAGCTATGTAAACTCTTATGCACATTTCTGAAAAGTATGTCAGAGGGTAAAAGTGGTCCGATCTCGAAAAAAAATTTCCTTTGAATTTGTATTGTAATAAATATCGGATGACACGATATTCTGTAAACCTACAGTACGTTATCTATGTTTGTAAACTTCTACGTAAAACCCATTATTCATTTGAACTGCGTTTCAAATGAATATGTGCAACAAATACATATTTGTTAACCTGAACATGCATTGTGATTAGATTAACTACATCATATCTATGGTCGTTAATCCTTTAAATACGTATATTCAGCTAAAACTGTGCTGTAAATATGTATGGAGATAGCTTAAATACGTTATATCTATCTTCGCTAATAGTAATTAATACATTCATTAACCTTGTAATTACGTCAATTCACGTTAACTTTTAACTTAAGATATCTAAAATAAAGTAGTTGGAATAGGGACTCCGTACTCTTTACTGCGAGAGAGTAATCATTCCCTGTTTTGATAACAGGTTGAGGATCGTCCCCTTTAATTTGGGACTGATAGTTACGAGCTTCCGATTGATATCGATAGCTAACGATACCACGCCCAGTGGTGGTGGCATTGATAGATCACGAGATTGGATCCGTGTGGTTTCCTGTTTTGATAAACAGGTTGAGGATCATCCCCTTTGATTTGGGATCGATAGTTACGGGATTGTATCCAGGTTTAAACATTAATAGCTAAGTGAAACTGAACCATACCTGGATGGATATGTGTTAGAGAAACCGTTCTGGATTAGGGTATTTACTACAGTATGACTAAATGTTACTTCTTCTGGTCGGCATTATACAAATATCCCTACTTGGTCTTTTTTGGGGTACACTAATGGGATTGCTAAAACCGGCGTGAATACCTGAGTTAAAATCAATTTACAAATCGAAATTTTTTTTGGAAATTGACCGAGCTTGGGCAAAAACATGTTTTTTAAACACTTAGTTATTTTTGTAAAGTGAAGTATTTAATAAATATGATTTTCATACTTTACTATTTTCAGTAGTATATTTTTTTCTCACTTAATTCATCATTAAAACCCATTTGCAGCGGCCATTTTGAATTTTTGTGAAAATTAACCTTTTGTAGACATGGATTAGAATTTCTAAAAGAGATTAGAGAACATTTTTGGATCTTAAAAATGATGCCAGAAAAATGGTTTACCCTTAATGTCCACATATGGTACTATGATTACCTTTAAAACTTCCAAAGAAGGGGACTTATATCTTCCAGGGATAGGATTAAAGTTCAATTATACGTTAACAATTCTTTCAGGGGTGTAACTTTTTCAGAATGATATTTGATGAATGGGGGGGGGGGGAATGAAAAATGTCACATCAAAAGGCAAGTTTTTCCCAAAAAATCATTTGTTTTCCCAAATTTAGAGAGAAAAAAAAACAAAAAAATTTTGCGCTCAGCGCAACCATATATATCTTCTGGGGAAAAACAATGTTTTTTAAAAAGGGGGAAGGGGAAAATAATTTTTTAGGAAAATATAAACCCCTGAAGTCTTTAAATCAATAAGTAATATTACTTTGTGAGGTTTGTGAGCAGAGAGGTGTGAAGACACGCCTCTTGGAAGCTAGGGAGAGGCAGACAGTCTCCACCCACAATACTAAATACATAGATTAATCAATAGATATATAATATATATATGTGTCTGTACAATTGTTTGTTTATATGTCCAATCATAACTCAAGAACCCCTGGACCGATTTGCCTCAAATTTTGATTGGGGAAGTCGGGAGACCCACGGAAATGTTCTTAGCTTGGTTTTGAGATTCTAAGTGAGTGGGTCGACTTGAATAGCGAAAATTTAGTTTCCCGGTAAAATCGTTTAAGTGCGGAAACGGCGGGAGTAACTTTTAGTAACCTTGGCAGCGCTGGCCGCTGGGTTCCCAAAGTAAACAATTATCTCTGTTTGTCTGTGCATCCGATCAAAACTCATGAACCCCTTAGGCTGGAGTTTTGAAAATCGCAATTTCAATGCAATAAATTTATCATTTAAAAACGTAATAATTGCCGAAAAACTGAAATGCTGTGGCATGGAAGACCGTACTGTTGCGGCTCATGGCTGCCGGACGAAAAAAAGCTAATATGTGGCATGGAAGGGGAAAATGTTGTGGCTTATGCCCGACTGCCTTTCCCCACTCGTCTGACTACAGGACTATAAGTACTTGACTAGAGGACTATAAGTACCTGACTAGAGGACTATAAGTACTTGACTAGAGGACTATAAGTACCTGACTAGAGGACTATAAGTACCTGACTACAGGACTATAAGTACCTGAATAGCGGACTATAGGTACCTGACTACAGGACTATAAGTACCTGACTACAGGACTATAAGCACCTGACTAGAGGACTATAAGTACCTGACTACAGGACTATATGTACCTGACTACAGGACTATCAGTACCTGACTACAGGACTATAAGTACCTGACAACAGGACTATAAGTACCTGACTAGAGGACTATAAGTAACTGACTAGAGGACTATAAGTACCTGACTACAGGACTATAAGTACCTGACTAGAGGACTATAAGTACCTGACTACAGGACTATAAGTACCTGACTACAGGACTATAAATACCTGACTAGAGGGGTGTAAAATCTCGAATAATGAATGAGCTGAGATCTTGCTTCAACCATCTTGGTTTCCCTAAAACAAAAAGAAAACAATGAAATTAAATAGAAGAACAAAAAACACCTTTCTTCAATAAAACATTTATTTTGAACATTTAAAAACAGAAAACTTTTTAGATTATAAATTAATGACAGATAATTGTGTTAGTAAAATAATAGAACACATTTTAATAAAAAATCAACTAACGTAAGTCGTAAATAATGTTCTGATGTTTGGGGGGGGGATTAGTAAAAATAAAAATTCAGTTTTTTTTCTTTAAGAGAATATTTCCTCGGACATTTTAGTTAGTTTAAGGAATTATAATGCAAATATAATTAATATTTACCCCTGGTTTCTGCCGAACCCCCTGGTCCTTCCTCCCCGCGGTACCCCCGCTTCATTTCCTCTCCTCCTTGTAGACGCCCCTGAGGGGGCAGAGCCCCCCTCACCTCCCTCACGTTCTCTCACATCATTAGGTTTATCTTCTCCAGCTAAATCAGGGGTGTTTATTCTTGTTAAATATAAAGAACCCCCTCCCCCCTTCCCCGAAAAAAGGAGACCTCCCCTCTCCTTCCTCAGAAGATAGTTCCACATATTGTTTTGGTATAGTATAGATGGGGGAGAGGGGGGGGGGCGGTGAATTTGGAGCACAAATAAATAAAATTCTTAATACACGCTCCAATCTTAAAGAGACTAAATCAAGGATGAAGGTGTTATACAGGGAAACCAACAAAGGATGAGACTTCCTAAACGATTGTACGGAATTTGAACAGTCTGTTACTGTTTCCCTGCAACTAAAAACTTATTTTGTCTTTGTTAACTTAAAAAACAAGTTATTAAAAGACTTTATTCAAAGTAGGAGATTTAAACGTCATATTAACAGAGTTTTAGGTCGTCTTCGCAGTCTCGTGCTTTGTGGGTAACCTTGTAGCTTTGAACTAAATTGACATTTGATATTGATATGAATTGATATTTCTAGTTTTAGTTTATAGTTTCACATTTGATAAGGATCTGGAGTCCCATTCTTGTGACCCCCCCTCCCCCCGACATTTTTTGGCCACCTCGTGTGATTATACTATTCAAGGTTAGGTTAAGATAGGAAGATATTCACGCAATGTTGCCTTGAGTACATATTGACCTTTATTAGATTGTCTTCACTTGAAAATAATATAAATAAATATCCATCCACAACATTCTTACCATTTTTAGAAGAATTGTTCATCTGAAAACAAAAATAAAATTAAATAAAAATAATAGTTTTTAACAATATAAAATTTTAAATTAAAAAAACAGGTTTAGTTTCAAACACTCTAACAAATGCAGGTCTAATAAGTAATTTAACAATTGGAATTCGTCAAATATTTAATAATTTTACTCATACAGCAATGTGGTTGATTAAAAATTTATTTCTTTATAAAATTTTTTTTAATTTTTAATTTATACTTTTTTTTCGGAAGAAATTGACAAAAAACCGGGTTTAAATAAGATTGACTAGGAAAATTAACAATGGAACATGGAACCGTAGAAGTAGTTTTCAGTTTTCAGAAAGAAAAAACAGAATATCTCACAAGTTTTGCTGAGACAAAAGATCTGTAAGTGTAATATAGGGAACCATTATGCCCGATTTACTAGGGTACCCCTGAAACCTTACTCTGATCAAAACCTGACTCGAAAACGTTTACTCTACTTGTACTTCTCTGAGTCTCTCCATTTCGCATAAGTTACTATCGGAGAGAAACCGCAAATGAAAAGAGAACAGTTTTGAGAAACAAGACATGGATATCTATTATCTAATTCATACTTAATACAACGCTTTTAACGGTACCGTTGTAAATCGGACATTGCCATCTTTGCATGGTCAATTGAAATTACGCTTACAGTCCCTTTAAAGGTGAATCAGGTATAAAGGTGGAGGGTGAACGCTGAAATTACATTTACTGTCCCTTTAAATTACATAACATGCTATTGACAGGACTAAATAATTTTAGAAATCCTTAAGATATTTTTTTTGGCCAAATTAATTTTTCCTTTTTTTCATTTCTTGCAAAATAAAATTTCGACCACAAAGTTTTTCAAAAAAAACAAACTGTCACCAAAATTGTGTAAAAAAAATATCTTTATATATCCTACAAATATGGTTTCAATAAAACAAATAAACTTTATAAAAGACTAATCAATAATTATACTACATCTTACACACACCGTCTTCCCCCTTAGTTCTTGAGAGCTTTACCAACAACCGTAGCCCGGAACATTTACCAACAACCATAGCCCGGAACATTTACAAACAACCGTAGCCCGGAACATTTAACAACAACCGTAGCCCAGAACATTTACCAAAAACCGTACCCCGGAACATTTACAAACAACCATAGCCCGGAACATTTACAAACAACCGTAGCCCGGAACATTTACAAACAACCATAGCCCGGAACATTTACAAACAGTAGCCCAGAACATTTACAAACAACCATAGCCCGGAACATTTACAAACAACTGTAGCCCGGAACATTTACAAACAACCATAGCCCGGAACAGTTACAAACAACTGTAGCCCGGAACATTTACCAACAACCGTAGCCCGGAACATTTACAAACAACCGTAGCCCGGAACATTTACAAACAACCGTAGCCCGGAACATTTACAAACAACTGTAGCCCGGAACATTTACAAACAACCGTAGCCCGAAACATTTACAAACAACCGTAGCCCGGAACATTTACAAACAAACATAGCTCGAAACGGTCAAAAAACGTAAATATTTTAGAAGATTTTACCTTTTTAAAAAACACTATTAAATTACAAAGTGACATAAATCATACATGATGGCAACCCATTCAACATTTTTTTAAACAAGAGACTGCTTAAAATCACGTAAACAGTTTCTTTAAAAATAACATTTGAAAATTGTCACACTTATGAGGTCTGGGATACACATTTCAGAAGGCCAAGGTTACATGTATTGTGCCCTGCAAGGGGTAGTTTATTATTGGCTGAAAGACTTCAGTTGAGAAAAAAAGTAATACATTTTGTTTTGAAATATATAGATTATTTTCGGTTGAAAAATATTTGCGAATTTGTTTGATCTTTTAAAAAAAAATATATTTTATTATTTCTAAGACATTTTTTTCTTCCAAAATCCCCTTGCAGAATTAGGCACTCACAAAAGGTACAGTCCTATAATACGATACATAAAGTTATATTAAAAATCGTGTTGAAATATGTGAACAGTTCAGGATTAAAGCTAATTAATGGGGAAAAGAAAAAAGAGAAGAACTAAGGTCTGAGGTGACATAAGTAGGTTTAGAGTAAGGGGAAAAATGTCGAAACAAAGTAAAAAAGTCTCCAAGGAGGAAAAGAAGATTTGGAATGAAAACGTAGATATTTAACAATATATGTACAGTGTACGGGGAGAGCAAAAAAGTGTGAATAGCGAAATCTTGTATAAAATAAAGCATTTTTTTGGTAATCTCATTTTTGACAAAATATTTATGAAACTTTTGATTTTTTAAGCAATCTAATAGATCCAAGAAAATATTTTTTACTCAAAATTTGACGAGTAAAAAAACAGTGCGGGAATATATTAGTTCTAACATCTCGAAATCTTGAACAGATTAGATGAGTAGTTATATGCTCTCGCTATTCACCCTTGTTTTTTGACTCACCCTGTATATTGAACAGTGTATATATATAAAGTAGCATACTTCATGCTGCATGCTGCATGCTGCATACCGCATACAGTTTACATCTTACATTAGGCAGCAAACAGCATGCTTTAAACAGCATACACCATACACCATACACAGATACATCATATGTTATGTTGAAACACACTGTTATCTTATATCTTATTATCAATTGTACTAAATAACAGTCAAAGATGTGAGAGGGGGGGCACAACAGTTTGGATAGGAAGGGGGGGGGCACAAAGATTGAAAACATTGAGGAGGGGGGTTGAGGGTATGGAAGAAAGCGAATATGAGCAACTTTCAAAAACAATTGTCAAAAAGATATTTGTTCTCAAAATTTATTTTATTCTTCTTTATTTTTCCCTTGCTTTCTTTGTTCTTTCTTCTCTTTTTCCTCATCACTTGTTGTAATAAACAGAAGTGGAACCATTCCTGAACAAAAAAAAAATATATTCCTGTACAAAAATACACATTTAGAAGATTTTGATGTTGATGTTGATCAGGATCAGGATCAGGATCAGGACCAGGATCAGGACCAGGACCAGGATCAGGATCAGGATCAGGATCAGGATCAGGATCAGGATCAGGATCAGGATCAGGATCAGGATCAGGATCAGGATCAGAATCAGGATCAGGATCAGAATCAAGACTTGAATAGTGAATATTGGTCAAATGTCATTTAACATTATACATGTCATGTAGCCAAGCTCATGATCATCGATAAGGTCTGAATCAAGGTCAAAGATGAATTTTTACCTAATAAACACCCAAACATTACTCCCAAACATCTCCCCAAGTTTGCTGCTATCCTAAACATATTTAAATATAGATATTTAAGAGGATAAAAATCCCCAAAAGGGTATTATAAAATCCGCAAATCAGAAAATCAGAATTCTGAAACCAGAGGGGAGGCCGTATCAACTTCCTTTTCTATTATAGACTTGTTATTAATTATGTATTGATTCTAAAAAATGTGATCGACAGTGTGCGTGTATGAGGCGTGCATTATCCAATATCCATGTATATAAGTATAAGTATATAAGTTATAAATGTTTGTTTATTTGGTAAGCAAGCTCACACCTAAATTATTTGAACCTAAAAAATCAAAATCAGAAAAAAAAAGTTAAAAAGGAGAAATGCTGGAGCTTCACTCTACCTGGAGGTAGCTCCATCCTACCTGGAGGTTGACTGCTTCATCTGGTATGGAGAGAGGTATGAAGGTTGCTCTATATCCTACCTGGATGGTTGCTCTATATCCTACATGGAGGTTACTCTATATCCTACCTGGAGGTTACTCTATATCCTACCTGGAGGTTACTCTATATCCTACATGGAGGTTACTCTATATCCTACCTGGAGGTTACTCTATATCCTTCCTGGAGGTTGCTCTATATCCTACATGGAGGTTACTATATATCCTACATGGAGGTTGCTCTATATCCTACCTGGAGGTTACTCTATATCCTACATGGAGGTTACTCTATATCCTACATGGAGGTTGCTCTATATCCTACATGGAGGTTGCTCTATATCCTACCTGGAGGTTACTCTATATCCTACCTGGAGGTTACTCTATATCCTACCTGGAGGTTACTCAATATCCTACCTGGAGGTTACTCTATATCCTACATGGAGGTTACTCTATATCCTACATGGAGATTACTCTATATCCTACATGGAGGTTGCTCTATATCCTACCTGGAGGTTACTCTATATCCTACATGGAGGTTACTCTATATCCTTCCTGGAGGTTACTCTATATCCTACATGGAGGTTACTCTATATCCTTCCTGGAGGTTGCTCTATATCCTACCTGGAGGTTACTCTATATCCTTCTTGGAGGTTGCTCTATATCCTACCTGGAAGTTGCTCTATATCCTTCCTGGAGGTTGCTCTATATCCTTCCTGGAGGTTGCTCTATATCCTTCCTGGAGGTTGCTCTATATCCTTTCTGGAGGTTGCTCTATATCCTACCTGGATGGTTGCTCTATTTCCTTCCTGGAGGTTGCTCTAAATCCTACCTGGAGGTTGCTCTATATCCTTCCTGGAGGTTGCTCTATATCCTACCTGGAGGTTGCTCTATATCCTACCTGGAGGTTGCTCTATATCCTACCTGGAGGTTGCTCTATATCCTACCTGGAGGTTACTCTATATCCTACCTGGAGGTTACTCTATATCCTACCTGGAGGTTTCTCTATATCCTACCTGGAGGTTACTCTATATCCTACCTGGAGGTTGCTTTATATCTTACCTGGAGGTTGACTGCTCCAGCTGGTCCGGAGAGAGGTCTGGAGGTTGAGCTCCGAGCTTGGAGGCTATTGTCTCAACATACCAAGCAGATCCTATTCCCATCATGTCAGAAATAGTATTCCCTGGAACAAAATAAATTCTAAGAATTACTCAAAAATCTGTCAATAATGTTTTCAACAAATCCACAAGCAATTGATAAATCAATAAAAAAAAATGTAATTATAAATTTAACAACAAATCAATAAATAATAAATAACTAATCAATAACTAATCAATAACTAATCAATAACTAATCAATAACTAATCAATAACTAATCAATAACTAATCAATAACTAATCAATAACTAATCAATAACTTATCAATAACTTATCAATAACTTATCAATAACTTATCAATAACTTATCAATAACTTATCAATAACTTATCAATAACTTATCAATAACACTCAGGTGCATATTTGGGTATTAATAACTATGACATAATATGTAGAAAGGATCGTAAGGATACAAATAAGGGGATAGGTGGAGGGCTTTTAATCTATGCAAAAACTAGCCTTGGAGCATGTGAGTTTGAAAGCGAAGAGATGAAGGATTTTAACCAGTGTTGTGGAATTAAATTCAAATCTACTGATCACTCATATATTCATTTATTTTTGATCTATAGACCACACAACCTTTATAATGGTGAAAATGTGACTGAGAAGAATTACAATCTTTTGAAAGCAATAAAAAATTCTCCTAAACAATCTGTCCTAATAGGAGATTTTAACTATTCGGACATAGATTGGAAAAATAGAACTGCATCAGCTAAAATAAGTAAAGACTTTTTAGAACTAGTTGAGGACAAATTTCTTAAGCAGTGCATAGATTTTCCTGCTCACAATTCTGGAAAAACCTTAGATCTGGTCTTAGCACAGGGGGAACTTGTCATTAGCTGTGAGAACATAAGAAAACTTGGATCAAGTGACCACAGAATGATCCTAACTCACATAAGAGGTGAAGTACCAACAAAGAACAAAACCAGCTATTTCAGTGATTGGAAAAATGCAGACATTGTTAGTCTGAAAGAGTTCTTATGCAACATTAATTGGCAGGAAGAACTACACAACCTGGACATTGAAGAAGCCTGGAATCCTTTTAAAAACAAACTATCTGAATGTATGGACAAATTTGTACCTCAGAAGGTAAAAAAAAATTGAACAATCAGCCACCTTGAATGAATAGGGATTTGCTACAGCTTATCCGAAAAAAGAGAAGAGTTTGGAAGAGATACAATAAATACAGCAGCATGGAGGACAAGACTGAGTATGAAAATATGGAAAGACAAGTAAAAAACCAAATAAGAAACACCAAAAAGAACTATTAAAGAAGACTTGCCAGAAAAATAAAAAATAATCCCAAATTGTTTTATAATTATATAAATTCTAAAAAATCTCACATAGTGGCAGTTGGACCATTAAAACATGAAGGAAAATTAGTAACAGATTGTAAAGAAATCTGTGATAAACTAGGTAATCACTTTGGCTCAGTATTTACTAAGGAGGAAAACTCTGACGGAAATATCAACATTGAAGACCTCACTGACCAAATAATTGATGATGTTTTAATCACAGAAAATGATGTCAAGGAGAAATTAAAGAAGCTCAAGCCTTTTTCCTCTGCTGGGCCTGACAACATAAGAACCAGGATCTTAATTATAGCAAGTGATGAGGTTGCTGCCCCACTCCAAATGATATTCCAGCAATCACTAGATACAAGAGTGCTTCCAAAAGACTGCAAAAATGCAAATATAGTCCCAGTCTTCAAGAAAGGGACCAGATTTGAGGCAGGAAACTACAGACCAATCTCCCTAACATCTGTGATATGCAAAGTAATGGAGTAAGTACTAAAGGACCGAGTAGTTAACCACCTTGACACAAATAAACTCATACACAGTTCACATCATGGGTTTATGAAGAAAAAATCTTGCTTAACAAACCTACTTGAGTATCTAGAGACAATACTCACCAATATAGATGAAGGTGATTCAGTCGATGTTATATATCTTGACTTTGCCAAGGCATTTGACAAGGTCTCACATAAACATCTTGCAAAAGTATTGGAAGCTCATGGTATCAAAGGCAAAATCCTACAGTGGATCATCTCCTGGTTAAACGATAGATCACAGAGAGTTTATTACAACAATAAATCATCAGCCTGGAAACCAGTTTGGTCTGGAGTGCCCCAAGGGAGTGTCCTTGGACCGTTGTGTTTTGTTATATATAAACATACTTGACCTAGTAATTAAAGATGCCCTAACTTTTCTGTTCAAGTTTGCAGATTGACTCTAAGGCTGGAAGGAAAGTTAATACAGACAAGGAGAGAGAAGCACTACAATGTTCATTAAATTCATTAACTCAATGGGCACAGGACTGGAAGATGGAATTCAATGAGTCGAAATGTAAAGTTCTAGAAATTGGAAAGAATAATCCAAGATATGGGTACCAAATGAATGGTGTAAATCTGGAGGTTTCAGACAAAGAGAAAGATGTTGGTGTAATGATACAGGAGGATCTTAAACCCTCTAGACGGTGTGCTACTGCTGCAGGGGAATAGTATTTTAGGCCAGATGGCCAGATCTTTCTCCTGTAGGAATAAAACTGTATGGATCTCATTGTACAAAACCTATGTCAGGCCCCACCTTGAATACTGTATTCAAGCCTGGAATCCCTGGCTAGTAAAAGACAAAGAAACTCTAGAAAGGGTTCAAAAAAGAGCAATATCAATGACCTCTGGACTCTTTGGGTCAACCTATGAAGAGAAGCTGAAAGAGGTTGGTTTGATCTCCCTGGAGAACAGAAGAAAGCGAGGAGATATGATCCAAGTCTGGAAAATTCTACATGGACACGACCATGTGGACAAAAACAAATGGTTCAGCTCTGCATATGTACCAGAAGAAGGAAGGAGTATTCAAAGCAGGCAGTCAAGTGATCCTTTAAACTTGAAAGTTCCAGCTGTAAAGACTGAAGTATATCGAAATCTTTTTAGCACAAGATGTGTTAATATGTGGAACGAAATCCCACAAGATGTGAAAAATGCAAAGAACCTGAATAGTTTCAAGAATAAACTAGATGAATGGCTGAACTACTGAATGGACAACATAGACAAAAGATTGAGATGTTTTAATTATCACACCAGTGATACAATAACATAAATTCACCAATTAAACCAATTAAACTTATCAATAACTTATCAATAACTTATCAATCACCAATCAAACAACTGATCAATTAATCACCAATCAAACAACTGATCAATCACCAATCAATCATCTTATCAAATAACTAGTCAATCAACTAGTCAATCAACTAATCAATCAACTAATCAAACAACTAATCAATCAACTAATCATCCATCAAACAAACTACTAATCTATCACCAATCAATCAATCAATCAACCAACCAACATAACAATTAAAACGCCTAAAATTCATTCAACAAACCACTACCAACGACAGTCAACCAATCAATTAACACATAAACCGATACAGTAAACAATCAATCAATTAATCCATCAATCAGAACGACCGACTGCCAATCAATCAATCCACCCACCCAGCAACCCAACCCACTGCCTCACCTAGTGCTGCTGCTGCCATGGTGCTGATTCCAAAAGTAACCCCTAAAGTTAGGTCAATGTACTCCCCCGCCATTATCATGATAAAATTATCAAGAAATCCAAAACCTGAAACAACAATCCTTTATTTCTCAGGGGG